CTATTACAGTAATTCCCAAAGTATGTACCGCGGCGCTTCGAGGTGCCACGATTCATAAAGCGTTATTCATAGTCCGTTCTTATATTTAAAATATTTATTTACTTCTTAAGTATGGTTTTAAGATGCTATGAACCAATCAGAAAGCCGTATTAATGTCTTAAGACAGTGCTTAAGATAATCTTGGAATAAGAACGAATTATAAGTACTGCCTATAGACTTATATCCATAGACTAGGCGTTCTTACGAACCAGTTGATGCCCATATTGAAGAACAGAGATAGTTCGTAAGTTGTGCTCTCTCTCTCTCTCTCTCTCTCTCTCTCTCTCTCTCTCTCTCTCTCTCTCTCTCTCTCTCTCTCTCTCTCTCTCTTTCTCCTCTCTCTTGCACATCACAAAGAGAGGGGTGAAGACGGTTGGCTGGCAATGAGGAGAAGTAACCGATATACCGACTTTGCCATATGGACTAAGGAATAGGGGGACCAAATCTAAAGCCCTAGTTTAGGCGAGAGGGGGCGTTAACTCAAACGTGTGGAGGGAATTGCTTTTCGCCGTATTGGTTTTTATTATCTTATTATCTTACTCTATATCTTATTATCTTACTCTATATCTTATTATCTTACACAGAGACACCAATCTGTGACATTCCTACATTTGTGTGGTAGTGTTCAGTGGTGTCATGAGACGAGAAGAAGTTAGATGCATAAGAGAGAATTATAAAAAAAATTAATTTTTTTATCGAAATAGTTAAGTGTATAGTGTCAGGATGCTCTATTACAAATTATAATACTGAAAAAAAAAGTAAAATTCAGAAAGCATTGGAGCAAAATGTAAAAATTAGTCTACATAGATAAGAAATTATATTAATCTTATTATTTAATATATAACTTTATGTATATGAAAAAAATGCTGTTTTTGTTGATACCTCAACTCAAAAAGGTTAAATATAAAGGAAATGAAATTAAAATTATAATTTGTATAAATATTTCTTATTGCCAACAGATTACCAAAAGATGTAACTAAAAAAAAATTGTGGCTGAAAAATATTGGATTACATAAAGATATAAATTCTTTTTATTTTAACTTTTATTATTCTGATTAATTTATCTCTCTTTCATTTCTCATATGTACACAAGTATGAGTTCTTTGCGTGTGACTGAGAAACAAATATGAACCCTTCTCCCCTCCCGCGAACGTGTTCCCTTCTAGAGCCTGTGCTCCGTTCCTCTATTCCGTGCTTTGCCCATACAGGGTGTTTCATAATATCCGTGTCAACGCTCGTGTGCGGGTAGAGTGCGGTGAACTGACGCGTGGCGGTAGCAAGAGTAACACGTGTTGTTATTTTTTGTTGCCATGCGATCCTCGTTATTGTCATGCCTAGAGCGTACAGCCCACGATCTAGCCGCGCGCAACGCGCGATTATTCGTCAATCTTTTTTAATTAATACCTCAATTATTATTGCAAAAATTGCAAAATAGTAAAGGACTTTTTTATTCAGTTTTTATTCAGGCACAAATATTATGAAACACCCTGTATACACGAGCCGCCATTATAGGTATAAACTACTACGTCTCCCCCCCTCCCCCTCCAACAAATGGTTATTGTGACGTGTTGGAAAGAGACACAATGACTTACGCTATTACTCTCTCTTTCTAATATCTGTATCAGTTCCTCTCACAAGACGTGTGGTCTATGGATATAAGTCTATGCCGCGGTTAGCTCCCAGAAGCGCAGCGGAATATTCGACAATTGTAATAATTTCAAGCAATTTTAATTCAATGCGCTGATGCACAGTCACAATGATAGGAAGCGATATCTAACAGGCACATCACGAATCACTCTATCCAACTAGTGTTATAGTTTCAACATTAATTGAATACAAAATAATTAAAAGATCGATGTAGATATATTTTCATACATATAAATATGTATTATACCGCATAACAATAAAAAAATATAAATAATATACAATAAAAAATATAAATAAAATACTATGATAAAAACTAAATATATTGTTAAGGAAAAATTTTTCATAATGTTACTACATTCCCAGACAAAACGCAAATCTTAAAGACATCTGACAAGGAAACCGTCACAAGTGTCTGTCACCGACTAGATTCTCCTTGAAATATATTGTAAAACATACAATTTTAGGTAACACGTATTTTTTTATGCATGCCTTTTGAGATTCAGGGGGTAATCCTTTTGAAAAAAAACGGATTTTTTTCTTTTTATGTGAATATTATGAAAACAAAAAGAGATATAAAAAAATGTTTCGAAGAAAGGTTTTATGGTATAATAAACGTTGTGTATAAAGACTCGTATACAAAATAATTACACAATAAATAACTAGCAATAAATAAATGGGGATGGAGAGCCAAAGCAAAGTGTTGGTAGCTTATTTTCTTTAGTCTTGTAAATAAAGTTGATTACAAAGTAAACGTTTCGATCATGTTATGACCATCTTCAATACAAAAAATTTATATGAGCCAAAATGTCTAATTTGTCTCTGTGATTTCTGATAAATTGTTTTAAGTTGTTGGTACAAGAAAAGGACAGTTGAAAATCATATTTCTTAGCCATGTAGGAAAACCTTTCGGAGACAGATCTCACAAAGGGGATAGTAAAATATTTTTTGTTCTTTTTTCTGGATCATCTTTAGTATTCCCAGGTAGCACATGTTCATTTCATATACGTTTCCTAAATGCATCTAATGTTGTTTAACCGTCAAGCATCAATAAGAAACGTTTTTGAAACCACTCGATAAAAACATTTTTAAAACTATAATTTAAGAAACGTTTTTTCACGTTTTTAAAAAAACAGGAAAATTTTTAAAAATTTTAATTGTGTCTTAATTTTTTAAATTTATTTTTCTTTAGTATAATGTTGTTTAAATTTCTTTTAGAATTTAAGATAACAAAAATCATATAATTATTATAAGAGTTTAATTAATAAAAATGATTAATAAAAACGCATAAGAATTTTTGGAAATAATAAATTTGTTTAAATACTATATTTTACTATACTTGTAATATTGATATTGTGATATATTGATATTTACTATATTTGTGATATTTTATTGTAACATCTTATTGTAGCATTGCAGAAAATATATTAACTACCCAGTGAACATTCGATATCCTATGTATATACATGAAATATCCATAATGTGAAAAAAATGTACTGTATATACTATGTAAATGCATATGATATACGGTGATGTAGATACATTTGTGGATATACATAAGATATCTTATAGATATACATAGAATGTATATTCGAACGAGATCGCTGCCTGTATATACATAGAATATACCTCGTGTACATTCCATGTATATACATGTAACCAAGGTTGGAAAAGTTACTTTATAAAAGTAACTCGTTACCGTTACCGTTCTTTTTTCTAAAAAGTAACTCGTTATCGTTACTCGTTACCAATTTTAAAAAGAAACTCGTTACCGTTGCCGTTACTCAAAAAGTAACGAAGAGTTACAATTTCCGTTACTTTTTTATATATAATACAAATTTTATGTACAATTTTTCTAATACGTGGTATATACATGGGTGTATTCCGAGGATGATTAAATTAAACACTACAAATTTACAGTAAACATTAAAAATTTTTAAACATTATTTTTCATTAAAGTAACAAAAATGATATAATTTTAATAATGATATCGCTATTAATATAAAGTGTAATAATTTTAATAATATATAATAAAAGTAATAATTTTGATAATAAGATATTTTAAATAAGAAAAATTTTTTAAATAAGTTGTAAACCAGCTTTCTTAAAAATTTTTAGATGCTGTAAATATAAATTAAAAGTTTTCTTATTGTTAGTTTTTTTATAAATTCGTAGATATATAGAGTAAATTTGAAAAATGTAACGATAAAAATAACTGTTAAATTCGTTACTCGTTACCGAAAAATGTAACAAAGTTACTTTTTTTGTTACAAAAAAAATTTGTAACGCCATTACCGTTACAGTTACCGAAAAAAGTAATTGTAACGGTAACAGCGTTACAAGTAACGCGTTACTTCCCAACCCTGCATGTAACATACATATATACGATATACGCTGATGTAGGTACATTTATGAATATACATAGCATGTATATTTGAACGAGATCGCTGCCTGTACATACATAGAATATACCTCGTGTACATTCCATGTGTATATAATACATGTAACGTACATACATACGATATACGCTGATGTAGGTACATTTATGGATATACATAGAATCAGTTATTAGTTTGTT